TTTATTTGCGAGTTTACCACCACTGTTGTGCCATCACACGTCCTGATTCATATAAGCGCTGCTTTTCCTACTAGATTATACAAACACATAAGAAAGGAGACAAGGAGCTTGCCTTCGGGGATACTACACAAAATATTTGCTAAAATAATCTCAAATAGGATAAGAGAAACACTTGACTTCGACCTACCCAAAAAAACAAGCTGAGTTTAGATAAGGCTACTCCACAATGGACTGCATTCATGCGATAAACCAGGTAATAGAAAAAGCTACGAAATACAACAAGTCTCTTTACTTGGCGTTCATAAACTTCAAAAAGGCATTCAACTCAGTAGAGATATAGTTTTATAAGCATTAACTCGACAAGGAGTACCTAAATCCTATTTCGATGCCTTAGCCAACATCTACAAAAACTCCACTGCTACCTTAATTATTCACAAGAAAAGTGATAAAATTGCAACCAGCAAAGGAGCAAGACAACAAGCAATGAAATCCCCAATATTGTTCACTGTGTACTTAGAAGAAGTGTTGACACCGCTAGACTGGGAGGAAATGGGAGTCAAGATTGACTGAAAATGGTGTAACAACCTACGATTTGCAGACGACACTGTGCTCTTCAGTAACAGCTGCAACAAATTGCAAAAAATTATTGAGGAATTAAATCGAGAAAGTATTAAGGTACTTCTCAAAATGAATATGTTGAAAACCAAGGCAATGATGAATGTCCTGGTGAAACAGATTAAGATAAAAAACTATGAATTGGAGTGTACACACGAATATTCATACCTAGGACAATATTTGGGGTTTTACGTCCCAAAACCATAATACGATTATGAGAGATGCTGCAGTAGGGTGCTCTGGAAATTTTGACGATCTGATGTTCTTTAATATGCACTGACATCGCACTATACACGGGCCTCTACCATTTCACCTCCATTGCAATGAGACCACCTTGACAGGGATCAAACCCGCGACCATTGGGTCAGCAGCCGAGTACCACAACCACTGCTTCATCATGGTGGACGTCTACCTAGGACTACTCATGGAAGAGCCTAATCACAAAACAGAAATTCACTGAAGAATGAGCTGCAGCACACTTGGCAGGCACTCTGACATATTGTCACGAAATCTGCCACAATCATTAAAGCAAAAAGTATATAACCAGTGCATACTGCTAAATTCTGATGTATGGGGCTGAATCATGGAGCATAATAAAACAACCAGAAAGAAAACCAAGAACCATGCAGCGTGCAATGGAACGTAGAATCATAAGAATAACATTGATAGATTAGAAGACAGAAGAATGGGTAAGAGAATTAACTAAAGTTTGAGATATCCTAGCTGACATCAAGCGAAAACAATAGACCTGGGCTCGTCACGTACAGTGCAGTCCACTTATAATGATATGCAAGTGCCATTGAAGTTCCATCATTACAAGCAATCATTGTTATAAGCGGGCTGATAAAAGAAAGACGAAAGAGATGAAAACATTCTATTTGCATCCAAGTACGGTTAGGGCAACTATGCACTTGTTTGTAGAAAAGCCGTAGTCCGTCAGCTTTGATTGCATCAAGCGAAGCATGCACACAAACTTTCTCAGGAGCATCAAGAAGCTCCACATAGCCGAGCGGGAGGCCCTTTGGGAACAAAAAGTCCCGGAGGGGCTGCATGATACGTTGGGCCTCTTGCAATGAGAGTACCCGAGTAGGCTGCTCAGCCACGTCATCAGAGTCAGCGATCGCCTCATCACAAGGCACTCTGATGTTTGAGCAATATCGTCTCGACGAAATGGACCAGCCATGACACATCTTCGTTAACCGCCGACAACCCAGGCAGCTTTTCGTTGATGGGCGCTTTGCCGGCCTCTCCTGACATCACTTCAGAGGTTCAGAAAGAAAGCTCCTTCAGCTCTCGCTTCCTCGTTAGAGGCACAGTCGACTCATTTTCGGAGTATGGACCGGGTACAGGGCACATATAGGTGCATGCCATCGACACGAAGAGCCATTTCCAGCGCATGCTGCGGCCGTATTCAGTCGCTATATCCAATATTGCAGGAGCATCGTAATGAGCAACCCTGGAGTGAAATAATGAGCAGTTTATTTTTTTCCATTGAAAGCATACAAAAGTGGATGATGCCCTTATTGTTCGTTATATCCAATATATTGTTATAAATGGTATTAAATATGTCGACTCAACAGTAATGCGTAGAACAGACACCCAGTGGACAGTAAGAGCGACAGATTGTTCGCCAAGGGATGGAAAATGCAGTCGGGGAAGGCCGAGAGTTGGATGGAGTAACAAATTCTCAAGTTTGCAAGAATAAAATGTAATCAGCTCGCACAGGATAGGGTAAACTGGAGATCATCGTTCGTCCTGCAGTGGACTAACACAGGCCGAGAAAGATAATGATGACGACAATGCAATCAAGGACGCCTCTTCACAACACATACACTAATATATTGTAGTGAAGCATACTTGAGAAATACCTGGATAGGGGTTCGGTTCAGGCTGCAGCTGCAGAATACTGATCAGACTTTGGAAGTATTTGGAAGAAGAAGGCCGAAATTATTTACAGCAGCATCAGCTGATTGGCTTCCCTGCAGCAAGAAAGTTCGCATTTTTTTACAACTTTTAAGTGCACTCCCATTGGAAATAACAGAAAATGAAGCCTTGAAAAAAACGAGGGCCCGAAGGGCACATCCTTGTGCTGAAAAAAGGGGACCGTGGGCCGGGGCACAAGCTCGGTCTGCCATGAACAGTTACACTAATGGCTCACACTTCTGAGCATGCTTTGGTTGAGTGTGAAGGTAAATATACAATGATTCAAGAACACAAAATCAGACTTTCGAGAAACCTGATTTTTTAAGGAATGAACATAACTAATCACAGAGAACAGATGCGCACATGCTGAGAAGATGGAACTATTATAGAATTAAATGCATCTCATGACAGACACACAGCATAGAACTAGAAAAACGTTAAGGGCTACTGCGCGGTTTCTCTTACTTCTATCTTTTCGCAGTCGGTTGTAGGGCCCCTCCCAACAAAGCAACACGGCTGCAGCATGCCATGGTTGGGCACTCTTCGAGTTCTTTCAGGTTGGTTTATGCACGAGTTTTCTCGCTGCATTTTTTTGCGCCATCTCGAAGTGAACTTAGTAAGAGTAAGTGAACTTTTACTCGGACTGTGCTTTCTTAAGTTTCAGACTGGAACGGACGGAAGGTAGGTAATGGTTTCAAACTTGAAAGGGGTTGAAGAGCCAGTACACAGGCTCCAATTTTTGTTTTTTGCACCTCCCAAACAAGCTCGCCAAGCCCAGAAGGCCACAGCGACCACATTTTGCAAATATCACAGCACTGAGCACAGCACAAAAGCCCTTGTCCAGTCCTTTACTCCTGCAAAGCGATGGCCATGCAGTTTCTAATTGTTTACCTCAAGAATGCCTCACTTCTAACCCTTCGCTTCCTCACTGCAAAGCTCCACACACGAGCAACATCTGAAGAAAACATTGCTCGGTCGTTTCATTGCACACCGATGACTTACTCATAGACATAACCGTTACCCTAACAATGTGAATGTAGATACGATAATAGCTATGCCTACCCCCCTGCGCTGCAGAGAAGGTTGGCGAGGCTGAACGAGAAACTGAAACCGGTTCAAAATGAGCATTTCATGTCCTGTAACTAAATTTTTACACCACTTATTTGCAAGGATCTCGTGACAGTATGTTCCCATTATTTCTCCAGAAATTTTTGATAACAGAGTTACACACTGGCCCTATAAATGAGTTATGCTTTTTCGTGCAACAGTCTGTATGACTGCAGTGTATAATGCTTTGTTGGGAGGGGCCCTACAAATAATGCACTCAGAACTATGCAGAAGACTGGGGGAGGCAGCATGTTTCTTTTCACTTTTCATAGGACAAGAGGGGCTTAAGCACCTCATAATTATCAGTGGTTTTACGTCCCTAAACCACAATGTGATTATGAGAACATAATGGGACTTTGGGAATTTCGACCATCTGGTGTTCTTTACCACACACTGACATGTCAGAGTACTAAGGCCTCTACCATTTCACCTCATACACAGGTAGCCTAAACTGTAGTTAACGTAAGCGTGCTTGCATGTAACCGCGGTTCACTCATGTCACACGGTATGCGAAACTACGGTTATGCCGCTAACAGCAGTTGTACAGAACCGAGCTTTGCCACCCAAGTTTGGTGATTAACCAAGGAAATGACGGCGTTTATGGAGAGCGGTTTGGCCACTTTAACAAAGGGCGCATTTGTGCTGCGTAACATCAGTGACCATGGATGGCGCTAACCACGATTCAATGCGATTAACAGTGGTTTGTCATGACCGCGCTTAACTTGCCTGTGTAACAAAGGTATTTTAAATGCAATGACTTTGGCCTGGATTAAACGGTAACCTTCGGGTCTACAGTCGAGCCCCATAGCCACTTCCTGCCATCTTTCCGCCCTCCATTTCTACCATTTCGAAGTGGAAGGATCACAAACCGCATTTCATGAACAGCATTTTGAGATTCCAATAGCTGTCAGAACAAAGACTAACCCATCCCACTTTCCTGTTTTCAACTTGCACAAAATTTATAAAATTAAAAAACAACATTCACAAATCAAATTGGTGGAAATAGGAAGAGGGCGGCCAGAGCACTGTGGAAAAGTTGCAGAGTGCTAATCCCAAGGCCGAGAACATTTTATGCCAACACCCCAATGGTGTGTAACCAGGCGAAAATGGGGAGAAGCTTGACACAGCTGCAGCGAACAGCACATGGATGGGCACAGCAAGGAGCAGAGAACTAGAATTGAAGTGAAAGGGTAGACCAGTCACAGCTAGCCTGTTAATCAAGCAAATTATTAAACCTAGGATTGCAAGTGCCATAAACAGAATTAGACCCAAAGACAAAGATCTGAATACTTCATTTAGTAACTTGCCCACATACTCACGAAATGATACTAGTGGGCACACAGGAAAACAGATAATTTTGCATTTACATAAATTTTTTATTGATTGGATGCTGTACACACAGATGATTATGTCAATGTGAGCTTTGAACAAATGAAAGAGAGAAGAGGAGATGGGCATTGCACACTATGAAGACACTGTACACAGAGTGCAGGCTTTCACAGGTAGTCGCTCAGTGATGTTGCTCTCAAGAATTGTAAAAGGACTTGTGTGGCTTTCTGGGCTGATGTACTAGAAGACCACGCACCCTAGAATTCCGGAGTTTATGTCTTCTTCCGCTCCATAGAAACATACAAAAATATATTAAACTGCATAAAAAATGTTTAAAAACCCACGTATAGGGTTTGAATATCCCTACATTTCTTTAATTATTTCTCTCTCTCTCTCTTGTACAAATGGAGTAGTGGCTGAGTCACCAATGTCAATCAGGTACGATTCGAGGTTAGTAGCTAATGAAATGCTTGTTGTACCATGAGACTGTCCAACAATGGGCACCACTATAATCACTAGAGATCTGGCGCTGACCCTCCGAGGTATGGCAAAAGTGATGCAGGTACTGATGGAATCAGCTTGGCCCGAATGGTTGCGAGGCCAAGTCTGTAGTGTGCCTCGAATCTGTGGTTGCCACCGAAGGCGTAGTAGTAGTTGCCACCATCACGGCCCTTGATCCAGAGGATGTCCACAGGTGTCACTTGATCTTTCGTGTTTGGGTTCTGCATTACAAAAAAAAAAAAAAACAGCAGTAATGATAAACATAACAGTATAGGCCAATTCATTATGCAGATTAATTGGTATCAGAGGAAGTGAAAAGTATATAGAAGTCAATAAATTTCATCATCCTATCCCGTTTCTTTTCTATTCGCTATCTACTGGGATGATGTGACCAATTCATTATTTAGGTTTAACGTCTCAAACAAAATGAAAGGACTACAAGAGAGGCAATAGACTCTTTCCATAAATGTAAAGCTAGCTTTCCTGCAATGCAGTTAGCCCAACTAATGGTAGCTAGTCATTTGGCGCTGACTGCACGTTCAAGCAGTTTGATTGCGCTTTGACAAGGAAAATATTTAGCCACAATGGTGTACCAACTCTTTCGTGAGTGGAGGGCAAGCTAACATCACTCGTCAACTGGATATATTGAAATATACAATATATATATTCATACACTCTTACAATACATATATTCATTGCGGTGCTCGCACTTTGATGTGATGAAACTGACTCTTAATTAGGCATCTATAGTGCTATAAAACACGGTCTTCCACCTTCTCCTTAGTCCGGTGGGTCACGTTGTGGGGCAAGTTAAAAGCCGAGGTTCCCACTATGCTCGGGTCCATTGCTTCATTCGTCGCCACCTTGCAAGTTGCCGGCATCGCTCCAAATCACCATATGCAAGGCAGATCAGATTAATTGGAGACTACGACACAACCGAAACATTTAGAAATATTCATCACAATCACCATCTCACTGCAGCTCTGACAGAGCAGCCGTGATGCTATTGCTTTTCGATCAAAGAAAATGATTTTTCTGAAGCAGCAAATGATTTCACCTGTCCACCAAAAGTTTGTTTGTTCCCATCCATAACTGCATCGGCCAGTCAGAGCAGAATAAAAGCATGACCAAGTGATATAACTAAAGAGGGCCCCTGGTCCAGCGCTAGCCTGCTCCCCAATGCCAGAGCACAAGGCGGGAATGCGTCACATACGTGAACCGCACCCCAAAAAGCCTTCAAGGAAAATCATCACACCAGAAATGTTGGGAAAATTTCACTATATTGTAACGTTCTCTCCAAATAATTTTACTTCATCGTAACAATATAACCGAGTGATTACTGTGCTGAATAAAAACTTCGTCTTAGTTGAACGTTTCCACAGCGTGCAGCCTCAATGAGCACTGTCGAAAGGGGTGAGGGTATAGCCCCCAAACTTTTCTCCTTTTTTCAGTGGGGGGGGGGGGGCACAATGGAAATGCTGGCGCTCCCCTTGCCCCCCCCCCCCCCCCGGCTGATACGCCTATGCTTGGCCGGCTCTTTCGATTTAAGCATTTCAACATTTTCAGTCTCCATGACCCAACTGAAATTCTGTGTACCGTATGAATGCGAAGCCAGCCGTAGTAGGAACCCATTGTGAGCACTTGGGGATATTTTGACGTGCATCTAAATCACTGTAGACTCGAGCCCACGCTGTAGTACTAAGCTGCACAACCCCATATTTGCCAAGCACTCATGGCCGGTATGGTGTAACTATACTCATTACAGGTAACATTTATGAGCCTACACTATAAGGTTCGCCAAAAGCATTTTCAGCTGACGCTCTAACTCAAGTGGAACAGCATTGGTTAAGAAGCACAAGATCCAGCAATGATAAAATGACGGACGTAACACAGGTGCATATGGCACTACAATTACGCAATTCTCAATCCACTCACCTCAAGTAGTTCTGCGATTCCTCTGACCTTGTCTTCGTCGTAGTGCGCAACAGGCAGAGGCCGCGTTATTTGATCAAGGGGCACATCGTATACTTTTGTGATGTTAGCACTATGCACGCTAGAAATGTTGGTGTTGGCAGAAGCGCTGTTTACAATTACAACATTCTGCATATTACCTTGCCCAGCAGCTGTAACCAGCGAGTTGAAATCAAGATACAAAACCGTTTTGCCGGAGGTATCAACACCATCAGCTACGACTTCGGCTTCCGCCATTTCGAGCGTTTCTGCGTTACTTTGCTCACAGAGAATGCCTTGGAAAAGCTCCTTTTACTTGAGTGAACTGCATGCACCGAGAAAAGCGCCTGATAACGAGAGTATTCGCAATTGTGGTTAAGAATTGCCTATCTTTGTACAATAAGAGAACGTTCTTTTTAGTTACTCTTTTTTTAAAGTGAGATTATAGCAGAATACGTGCATTTAGAGTGGTAGTAATGTTTTCTTAAGCCTTGTGTTGATAGAGTTAGCGAAACCCTGCTTCAAGTGTGGCAACAGTTGCATCCAGGCAGCTTAACATCAGTTGATGGCACCTTTTCGCCTGCTGCTGAATCGTGTCTACCTGCTTACTAGTTTATTATTTGTCTTGTATGCGTCTATTATTGCAGTTTATATTACGGTATTTTTGGGGGGTGTTCGCGTAGTGTGTCGTTTCAAGAGCCTACTCTTCGCCGGGGTGACTAACGAACTAAGTGAGTGATGGACAGGATGGTTTGTTGCTTTGTTACTTTCGTTTACTGAGTATGCCCTTCTGCTCACTAATGTAGCCACCGAATGTATAACGCAGGTGGAACGAGTATTTTTTTACTACTATATCACATATATTGGCGCGCTTTTAGCATTCGCCACCGCATATGTATAAGGATTACTCGTACGCTATATTCGTTCTCGCTAATGGAGTACGTGCACGAGTTCCTGATTTCCAGGGCCTGTGCAATGTTTATTTTTTCATTTACTGCGAATTTCACCGTGGTGCTTTCGTAGTTATTCCTCTGCGTATAATAGGAAATTTGAAAGACATTGCTCGCAACTGATATTCAAGGTTATACCAGGGTAGCGTTAGAAACTAGGCATGTTATACTCGTGGCTGAGCGTTCGAATTAGACTGCTACGCAAGTTAAGAAAAGCGATCGTGTGCCTTTCTTTCACTATTGGCGAAAAATACATTTTAAAGTTGTTTTCTTGATTTAGCAACATATATAGTCGGTTAACAGGGACTGGTGTGTGTGTGTGTGTGTGCGTGAGTGTGTGTGTGTGTGTCAACTTTAACATTTTGAACTTCCAAGGAATAAGTTATTGTTTTGGCATTGTTTTTCTATTTCCCTGCATTTGTGGATGCGTCTAATTTGACATATTCGCATAGACGTAACCTTTAAATTTGTGTAGCTTCCGTCTCCAACTTTTTTCCCGTATCCTTCATCTGCATGCTCAGAAGCACATTCGTTAGTGCATGAACGACCTTCGCACTAATGTTTTGGATTTTATTTGCAATATAACTACTGGAAATACCTGTTGAAAAGGATTGTGGTGTCTGTGCTGCATTCCAAAGCCCCAGCACAACATAAATATAGGGGATGTTTTATTTTTTTGGAAATCATAAAATTGAAGCTGCGTCTGACTTTTGGCGCTGTTCTGTTCTAAAAACTATCCTGTGGGTTCTCTCAACCTTCGAGAAAGTGTCAAGAGAAGCGTATATTATTCTGCTGATTTATTGAAGACCAGTGCAACAAAGTGGAGAGAAATGCTCAAGAGTATTGCAGTCATTGCGGATACATCTGGTCAGAACCCTGTAAATAAAATATCCGCTATTGCTGCATCATTAGCAAGTCTACCAGTTAGAACCACGCCATCTCAGTTCTGTGGAAGAGGAGTGGTGCTGCTTTATATAAAACAAGTTTAATTTTCCTAGAACTGCTTTCCTGTAGAATCGGAGAAGTGGTTTTCGCAGTCCTGTCTCATCATAAAAGACAAACACGACGATAATTATGTATTGATAAATGAACAAAACAGAAGTTGTGAATGGCTAATGGACCTTTATTACATGTGGCTGATGAGGAGCAACGTGGCAAACATAAGAATGCAAATGAAAAGTGTTTCTCAATCAAACATATGCAACCTACACACTGTAAAGATAAAGTACGAGCTCGGAGGACATCATAAATAAGATTAAGGAAGTAGACACCATAGCGCGCCTAGTGCAGTGTAGCTGCACGCATTCACTGCTGTTTTTGTGCTTTTGTATACAGTCGTGCAAACTCTGCAATGCATTGATAATACGGCAGATTTTAAGAGGCCTTTTCTCTGTGTTCTTCTGTCGGCAGCTGGTCCCCTGCACAAAAGAGGCAAGAAATAGTATTAGAAAAACGTAATAGCTTGGATCACAAAGCCAGCATTTTTCTTTAATTCTAGCGGTGCACACATTCATTAGTATGTCTCGCGTTAAAGAACAGACATGGTTGAAGTATTGAGCTTTGACTATTTTGACACATGTTTGACTCAGGCACTTGGGCAGCTGACCAGGCATATGGGTATATAATTTCATTATCTAATTGCACGAATCAGTGCCATAGCCAGCAATTCTTCTTCGGGGGGTAGGAATGGGGTTAAATTAAAAAAAAACAATCTCATTATGTATCTGCTGTATTTATATTTCATATGTTTGCGTTTTCATACGACACTCGACGCACGTTTGCGTACATGCAGGTTTCACAGAGCATGAGCATCTGCTTGATCCCCTAAATGTGTACGTGGTTGTTCATTGGTATTGTGAGCTGCATAGACACTGCATAAAGAAGCTATGTTTCACGCGTAGTAGCTACAGCAGCACACTCATTGCGCCCAATGTATTGTGTTGTGCTTTTCCTAAACTGTCTTAAATAGTAATCTCATCGAAGCAGGAAAAAAATTTAAAAAAAAAAAAACACAGGAGAACTTACCTTCTCATTGTTACAGATGGTCGTCTAACGGAGGTGTGCTTCGTCGTAAATTTCGGCTAGGGCAGCAAAGGTTCACCGGAGAGGAAGCCATTCTAAAGTACGGTGAACCCAGCACATCAAAAGTTTGCTATGCCGCTTGCTTGTCAAGCTTTCGCACCACGCTTGAACTGATGCGGTGTGCGAGCTTCATCAAAACACTTCAAAGCACTGGAATCCGCAGTAAGTCATGGAGCACTCGCACGAGGAGTATACGCACACCCGAAGGCAGGTAATCCACTGGCTCATGCACGGAACGCAACACATCACGGCACTGGTGAGTGCTCCTCTTGACACCACGCCCGCTTGTCCCGGCGCCACAGTAGCCGTTGCTGAACCGTTCGAAGACAGCTCCGTAGTAAACGCGCACCGTCATTGTCAAAAGAACGCGGCGGTGGCAGCCAAATTAATCGATCAACGCCGTCAAAGCGAGACGGGCTCTGCCATGGACGCGATGATGGCGCAAATATTTCACTCGAGGGATGATTCAAGGCGCTCAATCGCTTCCTTGACAATCTCGAGGAAATGCTCAAGATTTTCCTCAAGTGAAGGGCGGTTTGTGAATGGGAAAACGCCACTAATGAGCGTTTCGAGTGAAGGTCGAGTGGAGGAGCGTTTGTGAATACGGGCCAATGTATCCGGGCAACGCCACAGCACACCTACCAGTTGCAACGCTTCGTTCTTTAAGATGCCTGACGAATGGCTCATGTTGCCAGCGGAGTCGTCCTACCTTCAGTTTTGAGCAGACGCCTCGCAGTGGCGCTCGCGACCGGCACTATTATGAGACGAGCCTAGAGCAGAGGTTTATAACTACAGCCCAAGGTGCTAGGCTAGAAGGGGACGAAGCCATTGAATATATAAGAACAAGGTTGACAGAAAAATTTCAACAAAGAAGTGCTCTATGCACCGTAATAGACAATGACGAATCAAGTGGTGCAATGGCTCCATTTTCACAACGAGAGTGGGAAAGAGATGAGAAAAGGGTTCCTAGTAGTACATCAACGGGCCCAGATGGCATTCCAATTATGCTGATAAGGACATTAGGTCCGAAGCCTAAGCAGGCTTTGAGAGAGGCAGCGAGCAAACTAATAATCGATGGTGAAGTTCCCGATAGATGGAAACTTAGCAGGATGAGCATGATCTATAAAGGAAAGGGGGACAAAGCTGACATAAACATCTACCGTCCCATAACAGTGACATCAGTGGTCTACAGGCTGGCGATGCAGATTATAAAGGAAAGACTGCAGGCATGGATAGAGGATGAGGGGGTGCTGGGGGAACTGCAGAATGGGTTTCGGAAACACAGGAAGTTGGAAGACAATCTGTTCTCACTGACGCAGTGCATTGAAATAGCAGAAAAGGAACACAGGCCCCTGTGGCTAGCATTTCTGGATATCAAGGAAGCGTACGATAGCGTGGTTCAAGAGGAATTGTGGGGAATACT